TCCAAAACTGGAATGCGGCAGCCCAGCACAGGGATGACTGGGAGGATCAAAGCTGCGAGAGGCCTTGTCTTCACGCGGAACGTAGCGCCACATAAGAAGAAGAATCGATTATTTAAATTGATCTTTGTCCACCTTATGTTTACTATGCTACGAAGCAACGAATAATCTCATGTAAATATAAGACTCGCCTCCAAAAATGATTGATTTTTTTTTTTTGTGATAATACATAATAAAAAAATATCTGCTGTAACATTCCAAGCATATACAATACATACATTAAATATGTAATTTCATTACGAATCTCATATTTCGTTTTTGAGATAGAGTGTTCAAACACACACGGAACATTTGCGAGCCTTATTTCAAACGATGTAATTCAAGGCAACGAAGGCAATACTTTCTCTAAAAAACAATAAAAATCCCAAAATAATATAAGTAAAAAATTGATCCAGAAAATCTTTGATCCTTAAACTTTAAAAAAAAATTAAGAACTTCCATTAAAACATAGACAATACAGGAATACAAAACACACGGGCTATATTAAGTGGCAGGTTCTTCGAATGCGCGTTGCTGTCACTAACATAAGTAAATACTTTTTTCTTGAGTAAATCAGTATGATATTAATAGTACGTACCGTGCCGACTGGTTTTTATGTCCCCATGTCGAAATTTTGTTATTTTCTCATTAAATGGTAAATACAGTCGACTATGTTAATAATAGTTTATTGGTCAACTTTAAAATAATAAATAAAAAACTTTTATTTTGAAAATATATTAATCAGTACAGTATTTGTCCTTTTAGGCATAACTTTCTAGATTTATAAATACAGGAAATATGACTGAAGAGGCTATTTATAAAAACCGAGTGCTGTTACTCCAACTGCATTCTAAACCGTCAATGAAATCGGATAGTCTAGCATATCATGTTACAAACAGCAAACAATGAAATAGCTTTTAGTTCATATTTATTGAGGATATTTTTACAAACAGCGAGGTCGAAAGTGAACGTAATTCAAGAGCATTACATGAAAAGTCACTACACTACATCCACTTCTGAAAAATTACTACGAGGGCTTATCATGGAGAAAGTTTTATTGAATGTGCATATTTTTAACATCTATTTGACGGGATAAAATTTAATGTTTGAAATAAAATGTATCATTTTAGTTTATACAATTTTAATTCGTCCAAAAAATCTTTATTTTATTTTTTATAAGAAATGAAAATATAAACTTTTGATAGGAAGTTCCTTAAGTAAAAATGCAGTGATTGAGGACACTGTAGGAGGAGTAAACCATTCATGGAGTGCATAAAGATTTCGTCAATGTGTCCCCTCCCCTTCAACAGTCCTTCAAATATATGGTTTGGTGCAGTAGGTTCTTTTTATTAGCCAATGATTTGCTCTGTTTGTGTTTATATATTCTTTTGTTAATTTAATGAGTACTGAAATCTATTTTTTTTCTTTTTTGTATGGTTTTTTCAATTTATAGCTGGAGTCACGGACGGATCTACGGGGGGGGGGGGGAGGGGCTTTCGCGTTGAAGCCCTCCCTCCCAAAATGGTAAAATATAACCATGTTTTATCGAAAAAAAATTAAAAAATTATCTCTTAAAGTATAATTATTCGTGTAATTACATTTAAAAGGGCTTTAGGAATCACTTAAACACCAGTTCATATAGGTAGTTAGTTTCTTTCTTATTTATCAAAGAAATTGTTATTTTTATGAAAAAAAAAGCGTCCGGGCTGAAGCCCCCCAAAAAGTAAATCCTGGATCCGCTAGTGGCTGGAGTTTAAAAAACGTCATCAGATTTATTTACTGACACACGCACATGAAAAAAAAAAATCAACCGTCTTACATTTGCTATGTCTGTAAAATATTTATTTATTAATTAACCAAATATTAATTCGTTGACGATGTTGTTTTATAGATAAATAGAAAAAAATTGTACCACTTGTTCAACGCTTCAATATCTGGTTTATAAAATTGAACTCACTGGATGTGAAACGCAGGACCCCTTTCAATATTTTTCTTACTGCAGAAGTACAAAAAAAGTCCCATATGAATTATGTAAGTTTGAAGCGAAGTGCTGCTGTATTGCAAAGAAGAAGTGCATCTTCTCTATAGCTTGTATTTCTTCAGTATTTGCCCTCATGGTAAACATTATTCGAAGGTCATAAAGATCATCGCTGCTCCGAGCACAATATAATATTAATTGAAATCTTAGGACGATTAAGATAAACGATTGACGATTACATGTTAAAAATGATAATTACTGCAACAAAACAGTGCAATTAAGATCAAATATGTGATTTGATAATCATAATGGTTTCTTTCACGACATATTTAACAAACATGTATGGTTACTTCTATTTATGGTTAGGTATCGTTACTTATACAGATTTAATTCTAACTATATTTGTTTTATGGTAATGAAACAGCTGTATTATTAGGATATAATGTCGGTTTTTAAATATCTATATCACTAACTCCCCTCCTATACATTTGAATTGTGTTTACATATTACATATATATTTTGTTACATATTGTAGCATTACATAGTTTTTATATATATTTATCATGTTTTTTTTTTTTTAGAAAGTTATTAATTTTGTGCTGAAATTACAATTAGAACGTAACTTCTCCAAAACCACTAACGCCATGTAATGCTTCCAGCATTCGATAAAAGAGAAATACTCCTTCAATTTATCGGAAACTTGTAGAAACATATGGAGAAAACGTCGTTAGTGAAGGATAACTGTTAGGTCCTGGAAAAACACGAAGAACAGAATCGAAAAAAGTAATAGTGTATGTTTAGTGGAATGTGTAAGAAATCCTTGATCATAAATTCGTTCATCTTAACCAAACTGTCACTAAACATCTTTACTGTAATCACAGACATTGGTATCAAGATGACAAACTGCTACAGAAAAATATGGTATTTTAGATTGGATGTGTTTCATTGGTTTTATCCTACTCCTTAATCACGCATCCTACCCTATTAATCACGCAATTAAATACCGATATTAATTACGAGATGACCTGATATAGAATAGTAATCTTTAAGGATTTTAGGTTTTATGTTCATTGATTTGTAGTTACATATTACTACAGTGATTAACAAGATTTATTTTGAAAAGAATTATAGTTATTTTATTATTTTAACATTTTATAAATAAAATGTTTAAACTCTTGATTGCTGATTGGATCAGTAATGTTCCCGCACTCATTACGGAATCAAAAAGAAAAGTATTGTAACACTTACATCAACTAATACAATTCATACGGACTAATCTGAACGGATGATTTACAATAACGTAAAAAAGAACGGTGTAGATTAACATAACTATCCTAAGAACATAAGCACTTTAAATTTCAAAGTGTCTTAGCTACGTTTCCTAGAATAGATTATCAGTTAATAAGTGTGAATGCTTAACAGATGACATCAGGGACTCCATTCTTGACCATGACCCGAATCGTCTCATTCTAAGCGATTCAAGAATTTAGTTCAAGAAAAAATAAACAAGCAAAACACATCATCTATAAATTGATCTGATTTAAATATTTTTCATAAGTGAATAACAGTATTCCAAAACATACACCATATAATAAAGGCCGAATTTCCGAGATTCAAGCCTCATACGCGAGCACTCCCAGTGTAGATAAAGTAACAATCATTAAAGGAAGTTGATTCATTGAGAATAAATAAATGAAAGCAAATAAATATACACGTAAATACACAATATTCATCATAAAACCACCTATTTACCTATAAAATAAATATATTTCATTAATAAGAACGAATAATTATAGAAAAATGTCGATGTTAGGCCATATTTCGTCATATTAATCTTAACACTGGCTACTTAAATTTCCAAGTTTTTTTTTTTATATTTATGATCAAAAACCAACGCTCAAACTTTTCTTTTTTTGATGTTTTCATACCCATAATCCTGTCCAATCTGTCATAAACCAATAAAGAATAAATACAGAACGATCAAACCGCAATAATTATCTAAAATAAATATCAACTGTAGTGAATGTGTCGTGTTGTTTTTACAACATATTTATTTATAACTATTGATCTTTATTTTAGTTAATTAGTTTATTCCACTGACAATGATCTTTTGAGCAATTATATTAAAAATTAGTTAAACATACCATCTTAATTTTTTTAATACTTATTTATTATATATTTATTTAATCTCGTGCGCTAATAATTAATTTGCTTGTTATAAATACATCCACGTGACTGGCTGCCACAACGGATTTTTTTTTTTATTGTTTCATGTTTATGTAATTGATATAAGCTAAATACCTAAGTAATCACAATAAATCCCATTTTTAAATTATAATACATATACATACACATATACGGCTACTAAAGGAAGAATAATAGAATATGCACATGCCATGAAAAAATATAAGAAATCATTATCAATGACGTATGTTTTTTTTTTTTTTTGTGGAACACATAAAGAAAGCAACATCATTTCATATAGGTAGTTCTAATTCCATTTTTCTTCTAGTAAAATAATTTCAGAACATGGCCATATAATTGGGTGTGTGCTATAATAACTGAATAATAAAAAATCATGATGACATGGCGGATTCTTGTAAGGAGCGCCTCATATTTGTAATACGAGAAGTGAGGAACTGATTAAATCTACGATATAAATCAGACCCAAAAGGAAAATAAAAAAATATTACTTACAGGATTTTAAAAAAAATAAAGAAAAACATTATTTGAGGGAACTTCATAAAACTTCCGTTATTTCAGATTATTCGTAAAAATACCTACTGTTATTACACGGTTTCGTAGAAAATATTTGAAGGGTGATTAACTACTGATGTAATTATTAACTGTAACATAAATAAATAATTCAAAATATTGAATATGGGCCGCATATAAAAGTGCATTATCGCGAGTAATTTTATCTCACTAATGGAAATGTATTTTACGACACAATAAATCCTCGGTATTCTTGACATTAAAAAAAAAATCAAGATAAGGAACAATGAAAGAGCTTTAAATCGGTCTCGAAGGGGGACAGTGCAATCCTAAACGGAGAAGGAACTGAAGGCTGGTGGAAGGCAAGCAGTCTCGCGGAGCGGGAGTTCGATGCCAAGGGAGCGATGTATCGATGTATCGATAGTTTGCCATCGATGGATGGGAGCCTAGGGACCGGCGGGCAGTCCCCGCCAGGATGAGAAACTGTTGCCATGGCCTCTCGTCTTATCCTTACCATCTTCTTTCTCACGTCATTAGCGGGGCTGTCCGTAGCTGCGGTGCCTAATAGGCAGCACAACAGTGAGTATTAATGCCTACCACGGCATAATATTGAACCTTTTTTTTTTTTTTTTTTCTCCGATCAATAATAAATTGTGAAAATTCTCAATTTTCATTCATTCAAATATCTATTCCTGTATCGATAGATACTCATAACGATATTAATCGAAAAAATATCGATTTGCGTAATTTTTATTAGATCGATTTTGACTGGTTGGTACCGAAGACAGCAAATGAAGTCGGGAAAATAGCAGCGTACACGCCATGGACTTAAAAACCATCACTACACTACTTTAATGTAACTTTATTAATCAAAAATCATTGTATGACCAACTAAATAATAAAAATTCAGCACCGGATAATTTTCCTAAAATTGTGATATATATTTAATTCTTTAGATAATATTAACAATAAAGAGATCGCCATATAATCGCGCAGAATAGACGTCATTTTTACAGTGTTTTCATTTACATAAAACGTCATTTTTGCATATGATTTTATTTACATAGAACATAAAGAAATGAGCTACTTAATTATACTAACATATATATCAAACCATGGAAATCGTTGATTACAAATTTATCGTTTTGATAAAACGATGCAAATAGATATAAGAAAATATGTTTCATTGCAATTATTAAAAAATACGATCAAATAGCAATATATAAAATAAAATTGTAACCGTGATCAGGATGTTTATAAAGTAGAGTAGCCAATAAATAATTTCGTAACCGAATTCCTACTCATACACAGTTATAAGTCACAGTTACATGCTGATTTTATATAATTGCATAAGCTTAACACTTGAAATGCTTCGTGCTTTACCATTGGATGGATCTATTCCATCAGGAGTCTGTTGATTTTAATATCATTTATCTACACAATATACAAAACGATACTGTAGATTTCTTTTTCGGCTTTCAGGAGCAATTGGTATTGATGAATGATTTATCAAACGAAAGGAAGTTCTATGGAGAAGTGTTTGATCTCGTTTTCGATCCTTAAATTCCTACAGAAACTTCAATACAAGTAAAAAAAAATAAGGAGACTACAAAACAGATAGTTTTAAAATTTGACAAATCGAGACGAGATAAATTGTGTTTCCGATCCGAATGAAATATACCAGGAATTCTTAATTCCCAAAATTTCTCATTTTTGAGATAAATTGTAATTCTTGCCGAAGCCTATTTGTGTCATAGCTGTCATGGAATACTTATCAAGTTTTTTGAGGGTTAAAAGTAAAAATATTTCTATTAATGATTGTCTATTACGAACTAAAAATCAATTGTAAATGTAAATGGAGGATAATATGATTTCTTGGGCATTTTGTATAATAGATGATATATTAATAAATGTTTTGATATATTCAATAAATAAAAAAATAAACAATTTATGGCTTCATCATCTTAGTAATAAATACAAACCAACTAACTACAAAGCAAGGCTCTTCTGTACCAAACGAATAGGTCTTGATCGAGTACAATAATGGATTATTATGAGGTCAGGGGTAGCTATGCCTTATCCCCTAACCAATAAACTGCAGAGATATTTGCCAGAGGGACAAGCAATCATATTAAACAAAGTGTTTGTTCAACAGTCGTGATGAAGTATCAACTTCACCAATAAAGTGTGTTGGAGTATATTATCTTGAAGTATACTTGAAGTATATTTTTCCAATAAAATACTTTAATTGTCACTGCAAGATGAAATTAAACCTGATAAGAATCATTAAATGATTATTGAATATAACTAACTACTTATATGTGCCTTTCAGTAGACAGAATGATTTACGTCATTTAAGTGATATTCCAAGTTGTTAATTTATAATATCTGTAGAAATAATGATAATATTGAACCTTTTTTATTTTTTTCCCTATCAGTAATAAATTGTGAAAAATTCTCAATTTTGATTCATTCAAATATCTATTCCTGTATCGTTAGATACTAATAACGATATGAATCTAAAAAATATCGATTTGCGTAATTTTTATTAGATCGATTTTGACTGGGTATTTAACAAATTTGACTGGGTATGGATTTACACAAATAAAATTAATGTAACTAATTGTTAAGAACATAACGACTAGGAAATGTCGGAAGCAGTGAATACATGGAAAGTAGGTTAAATTTATAATATAGTTTTATGAGCTTATAAATCTGCTACATTAGTTTGATAAGGCACTACCTAAGGACAAGTTCCTAAATTCTGAGCTATGATCATTGGTGAGCACCTATCCATGAGTGGATTAGCGATGGGTTAAAGTACATACATTAAGTACACATTATTGATCCTTTTGACTATTTTTTAAGAACAAATGTATTTTTGAGACTTAGACCTTTGTAACTTACATTTCTACTCATTTAGTCTCTGACAATGTTTAAGCAACTTTTCGAAATATTTTGTAGAAAATCTTCAAAAACCTTCATAAATAAAAAAAATGGAGACAACAAATTTCCAAACTTGTTTTTCTTAAAATTGGGGCTGGACCAGTTTTCATTCAAATAAAAAAATAAAATTATCACAAAAATGTCAGTTCAGATGTTGTATTTTGAAGAAGTAGATAAGTAAATTCAATTCCATCGGCCTATAAGGTAAATGTTAAAAACATTACTCCAATAACTAAAATAAATTTAAAGTCAGTAGCTATAAACAACTCACTTAAATTATATCAATGTCTTTTAAACAAGAAGTTTATTTTTCATCCTGATTTTTTGACAGAACGCGAAGGTAATAATAATATAAAGGTACTGAAGACAATCCATCGAAATTCATTCTTCTAATTGAATAAAAAAAACATATTTTTTTTTTACGATTACAACTATGCATGTTACAAATAAATTCAATTTTGACAATAAGTCGGAATAGTTTATCTTTATTTTTGGAGTTAAAAAAAATATATGAAAACTTAAGTTAATAATCATGCTATTAAATTAAATACTTAAAATATTCAACAAGTTAATATTCTTAACAAAGACACACTTCCGTAATTAAAGTCTCAAAAATTCACAAGGATTAAATACTATACCGCAATACTATAATGCGTTCATGGTTTTCAAAATAAAACCTAAAACCACATATGAGTGGCATCATATCAAAGACGAACATTTTCAAAAAGTGGAGACAAAGTCTATTTTTGTTTTATAGATTCAACGCAAACTGTTTCTGATAATTTTATTCAAGAATGTTCAAGTTGAATCGTGAAAATAAATCATTAGATTTGGTTTAAATTGAAGCTACGTTACAAAAATTGGCTTTTTTTTCAATTATAAAAAAATGTCCGTCTACGATATGGGTCCATTCATAGGTATTTCCAAATAATAATAATAATAAATACGGAAGCCTTAAAAAAAAAAATAAATAAAAGTTCAATTGGGATATGTCCATATGATCTTATAACTCTTGATTAAATTGTTTTGCTTTAATATCATCAATAATTAAATATATATACGCATAATAATAATATTCTGTAAGAGTCCTGAAAAAACTAAGAATGAAAGTGAAATCTAAATTTATGCTTATAGAATTCACAGTGAATATTCCTTTATAGGATGGATCAAAACTATATGGTGTAGTCAGATTATTTCACTCGATAAGTGCTTCACCGGTTGAATTACTTTTTTCACCTCACACCTGTTGGGAATACCAACAACCAGCGAGTTTTCTGCCGGGAATAAGAGTATGGATTAAGACGTTGGAAAGTCTGAGATAAAGGAGTACCCCGCGGCGTCCCTTCCTAACTTGTTTTGATATTTATAGTTAGTGGAGGTGATCGGGTATGTTTTACATGTAAGTTATAGTGAAATCTTTTGCAGTATGTTCATATGTGGTCTAACTGTTGGCATCTGTAAGTCTATATGTAATGTTACTAATCTACCAGAAGGCTTTGGTTATAGTACCGAAAGTTTTTAATTTAAAAGTCTGTAGTTGACGTATGTGAGTCTTTTTGCCTGTTCCATATACCTGTGAAGATACTTCCAAATGAGCATAAGTAAGGGTATGTATTCTACTTCTGTCTGAGTTTTAATTTCGAATCTCTTGAAAGGAGTAAGTATAATACTCTTAGTCTTAGGTTAAGTGTTTTTGTTTTGTTCTTGATAGATGGTTCCCATGTCATTCTTCTGTCAAATGTCAGTCCAAGAAATGACCTTTGTCTGTCTGAGGAATTTGGACAATGCCGTGGCAAATAGGAGGACAAGTTCCACGTCGAAGAGTAAAAGTAATATGTTGTGATTTGTCTTTGTTGAATCAAATTACTTCTTTTTTTTCCATAAACAAAATAAAAGAATTAAATTATTGGAAATGCGAATATTTTATTTAGAAAATAAGGGTATTTTCTACTTCCTTATCGTTTTATTTATACTAAAAGATTAAACGATAAGCAGAAAAAAATCCTAATAAGAGATTCCATTCATCGCGTCGTAGCTGCCAAGTTTTTAGAACAGATAAACGTATCCTCTGGGAGGCGAAGAACTAATTTGAAGTTAAATATGTTATCGGAAAAACGCGAGTCAAAAAAGCTGGAAATAATTATATGAAAAAACATAAAATTAAAACGTAAGGGAAATTTAATCAATTCAATTCCTTTAGTGATACATTGAGATTGCTGATTTCATTAAATGAAGAGATGCATAACAGTTTTGTTAAACTCATAACTACAGCACCATAACTATTATTTTTTTATATCAAAATGAAATATATATTTTGCACTATATTTTATATAAATAAAAAAAGAAAATGAAATATTATTATTTATTATTAACCATTATGCAGGAATCTTTTACGATATTGCTGTAACACTGAACGAACAATCCTTAAAAATAGAGATCGCTAATAAAATTCATGTCAAACACAGTACAAAGTAAATTTAACCTTTGTAATGCAGTGAAACAAAGTGAAAATAAAAAATGTATACATAATAATATCAAAGAAGACGTTTCTCGAACCTATAATTTTTGCTGTGGTAGTGATTTATTACAATACTTAACTTTGAAGTGAACTGCTATTCCCAGAGGAGGATTAT